CCGCTGCAAAAGATCCGCCTGATTCGACGCGCTGGAGTGAAATCCAGGAGGCCTTTGGGGCGTTGAAGTCACCTACGAGCAGGAGATGAGTGAAACGGTAGTTGGAGGAGAGTTGCTCAAGGGTTTGTGTGAGGAATTGGTCATCCTCAGGGGGTTGCTAATGAGGTGTGACCTACCGAATCTGCATTTGAATGTGGTGCACGGTGAGGGGAACGGTCAGCTCTAATTCTGAGACCGAATTTCGGTTGAGCAGCGTAGAAGAGAGAATTGTAGTGGTTAACGGCCCTATGGAGTCTCTAGTGAACTGAACAAATTACTGATACAGATACAAAGTCACAGAGAAAAATACAAGTAAATCTTGACTCACAGTTGAAAATAGGAGATTCCGTAGTTGCGTATTCCGTTGAACCACCATACCAAAAATATTTTTATCTTCCTGGTATCCCAGATCCCCGGTGTTCGAAATATTATTCCACAAGCGTGAATATATTAGTCCAGTGTTTGCAGCTGAAATCTTTGTTCACGTTTAGTGTTAGCAGCAGTCAATTATAGCCAACCGGCGGTCACAACAACAGTCACTCAGCAAAAGTCTCAAAGTCACGTTGGAGCCAACCAGCGGGCGGTAGCGGTTGTATTTCAGCAAAACAAACTTTTGTACAGCGATGTGACTGATAATGATGGGGGAAAACATGATACTGAGCATGAGAAAGAGCAGTTTACAAGTGCCACAGAATACGCGAGAATTCAAGAAGGCGTCGGCAGTATCATGGTTCACTTCCCCGCCCTGCTACATGCAGCGCGGAAGGTGACCTAGTGACGCACACGACGGCTGCCGTGGCGTGAGGGTATTGTTAGTTGTAAGTATCTTGGTTGTATGCTGGCTGAGGTACTGCCGGAGTGTCCACACCCCGCGATTATTGCTCTCACCTGAAGCCTTTGGTTCAAAAGCCTGCCCACAAAGCAGCGACGTATGGCAGGAAATGCAGTGCAGTCCAATTTCCATAGAACAAGTCACCACACGTGTTTAAACCCCCAACCTGCAGGGCCAGGACCCCGTGTTGGTCAGTACTCTTAACAGTGACCACCTGGTATGGGAGACTCCGTGAGTGTCGCACGGACACCACCCAGTATAGCTCAACGCGTCACGTGGGACACATCAACCGTCACACCATGGTAAGGTCTAGTCTCTTCGTGAGAGGGATATAAGTATGCTGGCAAATGGGAGATTTAAAACGCCCCAATTCAGAAGCATTCCACCACCTTGCACGGTATGCAGTTGAGGCTAACAGGCCTGCAGGTGCCGACCATTCGATTTGTAGATTGGCACGACTACCGCATCCTTCCAAACAGAGGAAGTGCTGTCTTAACGAGCGACCAGCAAAACATTAAGCCAAAATACTTTATTAGTGTGAGTGATGCATCCTTCAGTATCCTTGGGTGGACCGCACTTGACCCCGTTGAGATGAAGCCGTTGTTCTTGTGTAAAAGTTCCTGAGCATCTTCGGTGAAGACCGAGTTAATTAAAGATCGTTCCAATTACCGGATCGCTGCGATTGGGTATGATGAGGGCGTGGGGGAGAAACAGGGGCCAAAATTATGTTCTCCGTAGACTTCATTTGCAACCGTTAGGTCATTCGTGGGCTCCCCATTTCTCTCCTTTAAGGAAAAGATGGTTCGGCTGTTTCTCCCGCGGCGTCTCGTGTACTTGAACAGCCCATTTGTCACTATTTTTGTCTGCATATTATTAAACTCACCCTTTATACTCGTATCGAATACCTGTGTGTATATTTCAGATCATACGCGCTTGTTCCTAGATGAGTGATACGTTGTTTATCCTCGATAACTTCGACTCGCTTCTGGCCCGTTCTCTGACACACTCTAACGCGTCTAGGCATAATACGGATCCGCAGCTGCGATCTACTTTCTTCGAAGCCGACCTGAACCTCGGAGATGGAGCAAAACGATGTTCAACTGTCCCTAACTTCTGCCGAAGCAGTCGGACCTTCAATGCATTATCTCTGCCCTAGCAGCACATGCAGTTCAAAATAACCGATTTCTTTGATTGTACGACGGTTATATAACCGTCAATTAACCACCTTTTATGGTTAACAGGTGGTTGTCTGCACCAAACTAACCGTCAAATAACCGTGTTTTTCGGTTGTCGCTCGATTAAATAACCGTCAAATAATTGTGCTCGCCGTTTATTGCCCGGTTAAATAACTGTCAATAAACCATGATTTCCGGTGTTTGGACGATCAACTTACCGTCATTTGACCGCATTGCAACAGTAAGTAATGGTGAAATCACTACCACATTACCGTAAGTCGCTGTCATTAGACCTATTCTACTGCATTATTACGACTTAACACCATAAAAAGCAACCACGCATTAACCGCATTGTATGGCTACAGAGACGCTTCATAACGGTGCCGTAGCGAAGCCCTTCCTTAATTGCCTAACTGATGGCCTGTTGCCTACTCAATAATCGAGTTCCATGGTTAAGTACTCGTGAAGAATGATTTACGACTAACAACCGCAACACGACTGTAACGTTACGCCCTACACTGGTAGCCAAACGATTAAGCGTATATATCGCAGAAAATAAGGCCTTGTAACGGAATCTTTACACGTCGCTGTACATCAACCTTCTGGCCGCTTATGGAGATGGTTCAATCACCGAGTTGATACGGTGTTATGATTGACCGTTTACACAGAGCACTTAAAGAACGCAAAACAAGGACTAAAAATGTATTGGATGTGCAAAAATAAATGGTAAACAATTAAACCGAGTCATTCCAGAGGCAAGTCCAATGTGATAATTCCGGCTTCTTGGTTCACTGCAGACGCCTAAAACAGTGACAAAACATATGTGTAAGCATTTGATGTATCGATTGCTACCAATAAACTTGTCCAAGCGCAAAGTCGAATCTTACTGCCAACTGATCCAGGCGCGTTCTCTGGGTCATTTGGTGCCGTGCGTTACCGAACCACTTTTGGCTTACTTTATCCAAATCCCTTGGAAACCGGGTTACCGAGGGCTGTTTCTGAAACGACAGTTAGCAAGCCATCTTTGGTCACTTACCTTCGATCAAGGCGCAGAGTCTTGTGTAGCGGAAGGGGAATTGGTTCGCGTAGGCGACGTTGACGGCGAATTCGTCAGCCAACGCCTGTCTGAGACATAGGCGCACCGGGTCCGCCATGGTGGTCGCACTGTGGGACCGAAAATATTTCATCTGTGGCCAAAAAATTAGATCAACAGCACTGAATTACCAATTCCATTTGGCGTGGTCTCTATCTCAGCTCACTTTCCAATTTGTCCCACGCACATTTTCCCCGGAATGGGAAAGTGAAGATCATGAGCAAAGTTGGTTAGAAACATGCCCTCATATTACTTGAATCAAGTTTCGAAAATTCGCTTATGTTTAGCATTGAGATTAAATTCAGTAGTCGAGCCGACAGCAGCATCTGTGGAAGAAGACGGAATCCCAATCGTTTTGTCGCTTTCTCTGACTTACTGCGCATCACAGATTCAACAAGCATCATTTGAGCTTCTTCAAACTGCTTCTGTTGTTGCTGCTGCTGTGAAAGTACTTGGAGTCGTTCTGCCGAAATTATTATCGTGGGCTCGGGTTGTCACCAATTGTGACTTGCTGACCGGTCGTGCAACTCTCTTGGCCCTTGGCTTTCTACTTCACCCACTACGACATATCAGAAGGCACATAGCTCCAAGCAGCCCTCCGTGGAGACGAAGAAAGATTCTCACAACCGTATTTACAGGGTAATCAAAGAATGTTACAGAAAGTCGCGCTGGAATCTACGTGAAGGGGCGGGTAGCGTCGAGGTAAAGATGCTTGATCAAGATTGGCTGACATTCTGACCAATCGAGACGTGCCTCCGTTTGGTGCATAGTTCGCGCGTGACACATCTGTAGTGTGCACGCTATGCGAGCACCAAGGTACAGTGGTTCTGCGGGGGCAGGTGTTCGTGACAATTTCCATGGATGGGAAACGGAAAGAAACTTCATGAGCCGAAGCCCAGTAAACCACCAATACTGACATAAATCAATCAAACTGGCAGACAACATATACTACACATCCGTTTAATTGACGTGCTCTTTGGTTGTTAAGAGTGGCCGGTCACCGGACAAAGTGATGATTAAAATATCGAGGCGCACATTAGTAAAATAAATACAATGCAACAAGCGGAATAGGTCGAACGGTGACTCATTGTTTGGGGACGACTGGTGAGAGTTCCTGGGAGCGGGACGTATTTTCTCCGCAGTATTGCTGCTACACGTATTCCGTTATTCTCCATGGACTTGAGGTCTTTGGTTGACCTTCTGTCCTGTGCTCGTGCGTGTGTTTTGGGCCGAGTTGATTGCCCATTTATTTTCGCCTTGTGAAGAGAGAAGCTTGAAATATTTCCCAGGGTATCTTTGCCTTTAAGCGAATAGAAAACTTGCATCTTGTTTGAACAACATTTGGCGCATACGTTTTTCACCGACGACACGACGAACACACGGCAGGGACATGGTAAGAAGACTTTCAGGCACGCCAGCGGCTAGACGCACAATGCATTTTTCTGTAAAACCCCTGGGGGCGAAATAAAAACTTTAACGTCCAAATGTTGCGCTTCTTTGCACATATGCGTGGACTGAAAACCACTTTCATCTGCCATCATTTTTTGCGATTTGATTTAATCGATCTCTTTTGAAAATTATTGGCGCACATTCGGCTTTGAACTTCGTCTGCTGTGGCTTCGGAAGTCGC